GGTTGTGACTACTGCACTGACCCAGGCCTGCTACTGCTGGAATGGTGCTCCTCTCATCTGGTCCTTTATTTTTTAGCTGGGGACGTGGTAGAGTGACAGGCCTCAAGGTCACAGGACTCAAATTTGGTCTTTGCCTTAAGTTCTGAGCTCAAGTTCAAGTTCAGACCTGTGTTCAGAGCACTCAGACACAAGATGAGCTGAGCCTTGGTAACTACTCAGAGGAAGACCCCCACAGCCTGCTGTCACCTGTGTTTCATAGCACCCACATACAATCCAGAGGCTGAGACCAGCCATGGAGCCTCCATCTGCTCCACTCCACGTCCTGTGTCCATCCCCACCTTGGAAATCCCTAGCCCAAACCTCCAGGCTCCAGACAGCAGTCTAGAAGCTTAAGAATCTACCCAGCACCCCACCATCAACTTCTGAGGACAGGGATTTGTGTTTTGTCCACATCCTCATCCCCAAGGGCTTCTCGAATCTGTCTACTTGAACTAGAGTTGAAGGACAATCTTCTAGAAAGACACTGTGCTGGAAAAGCACATATGGACTGTTGGAAGGAGCTGCACCCAAGATGCTATCCGGCCACACAGCCTTGGGGAGCCACCCAAGTTATCTGTCCCTGCCTGGCCTCTGCAGCTACTGCCCGTGGAGGCCTCAGGGGAGCAGGAGGGCTTGTAGTCTGCTTGTTTCCTAGGACAGACCAGCTTTCTCAGGCCAGCTCTGAACATAAATAACTTCTCTGGGCAGCAGTAGGCTAAAATTGGGCTGGGGCAGACCTCTGCCCCTGCTTCCAGGCTAGGGACTCAGGCTGCCCTCTGCCCGGCAGAGTCATGGCTGTTGATGCCTCCTCCTCCCAGAGCCCCATGGCCAGCTCAGGGCCCATCTGCACTGTGGAGTGTGCTCCTGCAGCTTCCTGGCCCATCTGGCAGGGCGCTCCTTGGTACCAGTGCCAACAGATGTCACAGAGGGAAGGAACCGGTGGGGCAGGCGAGGACATGGGGCTTCCCCAGGGTTCCCAAAGCCTATCCTGCCAGGCCTCCCCTGCCCAAGGGAGATGAGATTAGAAATATGTGCCAGTCATCAGAATAGTGGAGTCCACCCACAGACAACACAGGGCACATGTCCCAGAACAGGGGGCAGGGCCCTAATTGCCACCTGAGAGAGTGTTTCCAGGATGGATCCCGAACACAATGAGCACGTTACAGAAATGCGCCTGGAAAATGAGCAAGCCAAAAATGTATGTGTGTGAGTGCACAACCATGTGCGTGCGTGTGTGTGCATGTGTGCCTGCCCAGACATGGGGTGAGCAGTGGAGATTCTGGTGAGCAGGATGGAGGTGTCACTAGGGTCGCTGGGCAGGAGTTGTTGGTCCCCATGACAAGCTCTACAACAATGCTCCAGGAACATGCCTCCTCAGAAACATTCTGCAGCCCTAGGAGGGAAAGGAGATCCTCTCCCCTCTTTACCTCTAAGATAAGACTTTGACAACCTATTTGGGAAAAAATCAGAACAGTGATTGCTTGGGGAGGGTAGGGATAGTGACTGAGAAGGGGCATGGGAACCCTCTGGGACAGGGTCATTACTCTGTATCTCAATAAGGATTTGAATTACACAGGTATACACATTGATCAAAACTGAGCTAATGTACACTTGTGCATTTTATGGCATATAAATTTCACATAAAAAGAGAGAAAATAAACACACAATGAACTCCAGTTAATGCTCTGCTGCTGAAATGCATCCAAAACATAAGATGGACCAACCCCAGAGGGATAGATACACAAATCACATGGGATAAAAACTAGCTTTGTAAAACTCTAGGGGTAGAAACTGGGTGCTAAGTATACAATAGGTGTACTGCTTGAAATTCTTCAAATTATGAAATTTTTCATAATAAAGTGTTAGAAATAACAATAACAAAATTAATTCCTATCTAATCAGGCTGTGGTATTTAAATAAAGTAACTCAGGTCTGATGCTTAAAACAGTTCTGGAACCCAGAAAGTACTGGAAAAAAATACTGGGAAAATGATAATCATCATTTTTATTTAGTCCTGCTGCTTCCACCTCCAACACATTCCATCGCATCCCTGTGCCTACAGCTAGGATCACTTCGGTTATAATGATCACGCCATTCTACAGATGGGGACAGATGGAGGAATGACAGGGCTGGCCAAGATCACCACGCCAGCAGAAGGTGGCCTCAACTACAGACTGCAGAGTCCTCCATTCCAGAGCAAAGGCCATAGTACTTGCCCCAGGGGTGGGTCCGTGGGTCCTGCACTTGCTGACCTGCCACATTTTTTTTAAAGATTTTATTTATTTATTGGAGAGAGAGAGAGAAGGATAAAGAGCACCCAAGCAGGGGGAGCGGCAGAGAGAAAGGGAGAAGCAGACTCCTGCTGAGCAGACAGCCCAACTTGGGGCTCCATCCTAGGACCCCGGGATCATGACTGGAGCCAAAGGCCAATAGATGCCTAACCCACTGAGCCACCAGGCACCACAGAGGAGAAGACATGCCCCCTTCTGTGCCTGAGGTCATGGTGGGGGAAGAGTCAGCAGGGGCCACCCCCAACCTCCAAATGGACACATGGGTGTGGTCCCCAGCACGCCAGGCTCTGAAAACCACAGCCCCACGGCATTTCTAGAAAGGGATCAGGCTCCAAGTCTGGAACCTGGTCTTCGGGCCAACAAAGGCATCTTGGCTGTCGCCACATGAGACTCTGGGGCAGGAAAGCACTTTCTGTTAGTGGTGGTTTATATGCTGCAGGACATTCAGCACTGGCTTAGGGGACTCTCCTCTGAGCAGGCAGAAAGGAAATTTCATGTCAAAAACCTAAGATGACCAGGAGAATAATTAACCTGGGGCTGCCAAAAATTAGCTCTGATCACAGACAACCCATACACACACACCTCTTCTTCCTCAAACAGCGACTGGAAGCAGTCTTCAGGCACTCAGCCCAGCTACGGTTTGTAAAATCATTCCAGGCTAAGTCTGCTTATTTTTAAAGAGAGAATAATAAATGCTTTGCCTATACTCAGAAGCATGCCTGGGGCTGCTATGGAACAAAGGAACGAAAGCCCTTCTGGGTTTTAACACACCAGTGCATTTCTTGCCCATCCCCCGTGGCTTGCACACAACCACATATCTCAGCAGGCCAATTCAAGCCCAGCCCTCGGACCACCCAAAGCCACTAATTCAGTGTGCACATGAGGGATCTCCAGCCAAGGGGGGTGTCCCGGGGGTCCAGGCACATCTGAGACAGTGACAGAAGGAAAACAGTCCATCCCTGAATCAGCTTATTTCCAGCATCCAGTAGGTAAGCCCATCTACCCCCACCCACAGAGTCTTCATATTTCACTAAAGAATTAAACATAAATCTAGTTGGGCCAATAACAGTAATGAATGGTAAAGCCGGTTTGGTTGTTAGAGCTGTACTCCCCAAACTCAAGTGTGCATAGGGGCCTGGGCATCGCCTCAGTTGTTGGCCCAGTCATTGGGCCCTGGGCCCTGGGCCCTGGACCCAAGGCTCCCAGGGCCAGTGCTCCTGGTTGGTGGGCTACATGGGGGCAAGAGGCTTATCTGCACAGGCTGGTAGGGAGATAGGTCAGCAAACAACACAGACACTAGAAAAGGGGATGATAGCTGAGGGTTGTTGATGTGGGAGGTGGGCCAGGTGGGAGTTGCAGCAGAATAACAGACATCTTTTTGCTGCATCCAATGTCAACTGGAGTCCAGTTTTACCAGGTTTGGTGGATTTGGTCTGTGATAAAACCTGAGTCTGAGAAACAAACAAACCTAGGGGTGCCCAATGGCCCCCAAGTCACCAAGCAGGGGAGTCACTGCTGCTCTCAGGCCCCCTGCTTCCCTACAGGGAACCCTACCACGACCCCCTTCATTCCCACTGCCCCAGCCACATGCACCTTCTCTCTGTTCCCAGAACACCTACACTTCTTCACGGTCTTGGATGGGCCTGGAAATTCTTCCTCCAATCTTGGCTGTTCTTTCTTGGCAACAAGACCCCAGCTCTGATATCACCTCCTCAGAGAGGACTTCCGTGACTATTCAGTCTAAAGCGACCACCCAGTCACACCCTACCATGCATTTGGGGACTGTTTGTTACTATGACATACCCTAGCTTGTACTGACTGATGCAGTGGCCCTCAGTGAAACCTGTGGAATGACTGGACAAGAAAAGTTATAAGCTGCCCACCAGGAGAAAGAGCATGACTTGACTGCGGGGGAAGGGTGGTATTGGTGAAAAAGGACATACAACTCAGGTTGACAGTGGGTCTGAGATAGCATCGTAAAGGCAAGTTTAGGCTTAAACAAAGGGGGTTTTACCCTCAGGGAAAGGGAAAGCACTGGCCTGTAGGGACAAACCAAAGAGACCCCTGAGCAAGGCAGTCCCAGCAAGAGGGAGTTCCTAGATGCTGGGCTCCTTCAAACCCCAACATGCACACAACATCCAGAAAAGTGTTTGACACATGGAATGTGTGGAGAACTTATCTAAAGAATCCAAGATAAATGTCAGGAGGACCCTCCCCCCATTAAATGGCTTGATCTTATTTATGGTCCCCCTCTCAGAGTGCTGGGAGAAAGAGGCTGAGTGGGCTCATTTGTTTATTCCAGCATGTATTTTATTCACTTTGTACTCATGTTTACTGTCCTGGGACCAGAGAACATTTCCAAAGCTGAAACATGCCCCTTGAAACAAAGATGACCTCCACTGAGAACAAGACAGAAGCACCTGGGACTGTGCCAAAAGCCTCCCATGCCTTTAACATTCATCATATTTGTGTCCAAAGACCAGATCCTTCTGTGGGAACCTAAAGGCACCAAGTGCCAAGGTGAAGGGCAACCCTCCTCCAAGCTGGGCAGTCTTGCTCCTGGTAATAGCCCAGCAGAGATGTTTGGTGCTGGTGTCTACCACAAACAGAGAAGTAAAGGGCCAGGAGACCCTGCTGGGCACTGAGATGCCTTCAGGGGACACACAGTACCTGTATGTGATCCTCACTTCGGTTCCAGGCTCATCCCGCTCCCAGATCAAAGCGACGCTCTCCGGGGACTTCTGAACATGCTGATCCAAGCAATTGACTGCACAAAAATAGGTTTTACAGATGTTACACTGGGTTCTTTTGAAGTTGGATAAGGGGAGGGTTTGGTTTGCCATGGCTTGTGCTGCTTTCCACTGAGGTGGACCCTATGTTCCTCAAAGGCAAGGGATCTACTCTTTGCAAGGAGAACGATTGTCAAGAGCCTGCATGGAGCACTGGGTGTGGTGCCAAAACAATGAATACTGTTACGCTGAAAATAAATTAAAAAAATTAAAAACAAAAAACAAAAAAACAAGACAACCAGTACACAAATAGCATCTCACAGGTGCAGGGTGATCCCTTGTGAATACCTGAAGCAGGTGCTTTGCACCTCTGGTCCCAACCCTGGCCACATGTGGGCATCACCCAGGACACCCCCAGGGACCCTGACCCAGTTGACCTTGTGGTTTTCAAGGCTCCTTGGGTGGTTCTAACATGAAGCTGGGACGGAGTGCTGTAACCTGAGATGCTAGAAAGAAGGCTTAATGCAAACAGCCTGACCCTGATTCAGTACACAGTTCATGCGGCAGTCTCTTGAGTCTGCTGGAGGTGTAATCCAGGGCAAGGATTCATATTGCCTCTCAGATAACCGGCCAGCACCGTACAAACCAGCCTCTGCTCCAACAAGTGATGAAATGATAGGGAAATGCCGTGCTGGTTTTCCAGAAGACTCTGCTTCCTGCCCCCTCTATTACCCAAGCTCAGATCACATGACTGCCTGCAAAAACAGGTTAGTGCTGACAATTTGCTGTAAACCTGAAGATTAGTAGGATCGGGTAATTTGCTAACATCCTGTTCATTACTCTCGATTTCAAGGTGAGCTTCGATCTGGCAGGTTCATTTAGTGCCCCTTCCTATCAGCCCTCGCAGACAGATTTCATTACTCACTTCCCCTTCAGCAGAAGAAACAATGATGGCAAGTAGCTTCTGGACCCAGCAGTCATCTGCCCACCTGGTCTTCAGGGTCACCCCCAATGTCCAGATATACAAATTATTTCTTTCTTTTTTTTTTTTATTTGAATACAGTTACTTATCTTCTCCAATCTCCTCCCATACAAATGGGAGAAGCATTATCTACCATGTCTAATCACAGGATTACAATAGGAATCCAATAAAAGACCAATGTTGAAGTGCTATTGTACGAATGCAGGGTGCTGTTATCAACTGATAATACCATGCAATGAGCTACAGGAACTCCAATAATATTTCTTGATGGAGTAACTGTCCTGACAAAAGTTATGGGAAACCATACCCCTAAAAGATCATATGATTCTCATAATTCTTGAGAGGGTGAACCCCCATGAAAATATTTATATACTTTAGCTGTTGTATGCGAATAACATTTTTTCAGTCAGGTTATCTTATCTATCATTTACCCTTATAATAAAAAAATTACATTTGAGAGCATTTGGGTGGCTCAGTCAGTTAAGTATCTGCCTTGGGCTCAGGTCATGATCTCAGGGTCCTGGGATTCAACCCCCTATTGGGCTCTCTTCTCAGCAGGGAGCCTGCTTCTCTCTCTGCCTCTGCTCCCACCGCTGCTTATGTTCTCTCTTTCTCAAATAAATATATAAAATATTTTAAAAATTTATTTGAACTTTCTGAATCCTCACAGATATATGTTATACTTCAAAAAATTTAATAAAGATAGATATCATCAGGAAGAACTATTAATACTAATATTACTTATTGATACCAGAAAGTTCTTTGAATTACTAGAAAAACAGAAGAGAAGAAATGCCATAAAAACGGAAGATAGAGGGGCGCCTGGGTGGCTCAGTGGGTTAAGCCTCTGCCTTCGGCTCAGGTCACCATCTCAGGCTCCTGTGATCGAGCCCCACATCAGGCTCTCTGCTCAGCAGAGAGCTTGCTTCCCCTTCTCTCTCTGCCTGCCTACTGTGATCTCTCTCTCTGTCAAATAAATAAATAAAATCTTAAAACAAAAATAGAAGATAGAAAATACAAGAAGTCAAACTGAGGGGGAGGTTGGTGGCAAAACCTGGATTTACACAATAAACCTGATGTGTATGTGTCAATCAGTCCAAAATTTAGAAATCATGAGTTTTCACACTAAAACCACCGATTTCTGGCCTCTCTTGAGCAACCAGCAGATGAGGCCACACCCTATCTGGAAGTTGAAGCAGTAAGAACCCCCCAGTAGGGCCAGGCCCTTTCTCCCTCCCACCCCGTACCACTTCTGGACTCCCACCACGAGCCCACCAGCCCCAACACCCCGCTCCTACTGCCTGGCCCTGAAGGACCTAAGGGATGGACTAAGAAGAGATGACCCTAGGCAGGTCACAACAAGCCTAAAAGTGCCCAGTTGAGAACCCACACACTGAGTTACAGCTGTACCCTGCATGGGGGTGGTTGGTCCAACTGGAAGAGGGTGCTGTTCCCACCTGTGCACAAATGCTCGTTGGCCCATGGCTGCTTCATGCATCACAGGTGAGCTGAATACACCCGCTTCTACCTAAGAAGCCCGCTCTAAAATTTCTCCCACTCTGAGTTTGACTCTTTGAGTCACCCTGAAAAGTGGGCAGCCCAGGGGTAGCCTGGAAAACAGTTTCCAGGTGCTCTGGGTTGTACAGTGACCTGCCTAATGCCACAGCCAGAAAGCAGCAGGAAGGGCTTCCAATCACACATGACACCTCACCGCACGGTCTGTTTCCATGGCAGCCAGGGCACCAGGACATACTCCTTACTCAATGAATGACGGCCCAGCTTTGAGCCAAGACCCTCACAGTCTTGGACCCCAGCAAGGCATCCTCCACCTGGTTTACACCAAACAGGAAGGCAGTGTCCACAGGATGGACATCGGGTATCCAGGGTATAGATGGGTGGTCAATGAGACCAGCCATGTATCTGTCTTTCTGGAGCTGATGGATGGCAGGAATCCAGGCAGGTCAGCATGAAGCCCAAGGTACAGTGTCCCCTACATGCCTCACTGCCCCTCCCCACCCCAGTCCAGAACATAGGAAGTTCTCAACAAGCAGCTGCTAAGACTCCATGTGATCTACTTCCTCCCATCAATCATGTTGAGTCTAGTGAGCACCCTCCTCCCTCAGAGCCTCTGGACTGTTTCTCTGTGCCTGGGAGATGCTGTCCTACTGTCCACACTGCTGCCCTTCACCTGGTGTCCACACTCCTACAGGTCTGGCCTACAGATTCCCACTCTCACTGAGCACTTCACATCCCATGGACCTCATGCTTCCCTCTAACTTTTCCCGAGATGGCACTTGTAGCCCCTCTGTGGACAGGGATCCAATATCCTGTCCATATTTGTACGTGTGCAGCTGAACACAGAGCACAGAGCAGAGAAGAACCACAGCTCTGAATAATGGAGGGACCATTTAAGTCCTCAAGCTGGAGGGCAACACTGGAGTCTAAATGACACCATGTTGGCTCCCTGCCTGAGGAGGGAACAGATCTCTTCTTGTCTTAGTGGCTTTATCTCTCAAGGTTTCTTTCTAGTCTAAATTAGCACTTCTGAATCCCCCAGAATCCCCAGAGGGCTTATTAGCCAGAGATGGTGAGGTCCTGCCCTGAGTCTCTGAATGAGCAGGTCTGGGTGGGCATGCGCATCTCCACCTCTAGTAAGATCCCAGGTGCTGCTACAACTGCCGTCCTGGACCCACTCCAGCAGACACACATGTAGGCTTACAACTACATACATTCTGTTCCAGATTTGGGGCAGGGTGAGGGGACCTTCTTCTTCCTTTGGGGACAAGAGTAATTAAAGACTTTCTGTAAGACATCTGGACAAACCTTTGCTGGATGGTGGCCTGGAGTCATAGGGAAAACCCACGCACTGGAGTCTGGACCCTGTCCAACCACTTGCTAACCACAGACGGTGCACTGCTTATCTAATTTAAATCTCACTTTCCTCATTTGTTGTGGGAGCGATGGCTCCAGACTCAGAGATGTGGTAGGAATTAGATGCTTTGTGGGTTTCCTGCATGAGGTCAGATGGGAATAAAAACACCCTCTACAGCTACCGCGGACAACGCTCAGATGACACCAGGATATTCACAAAGCTCCATGCAGGGCCTGGGGTGACAGTAGCCCTAAGATTCTGTGTGTGTGCTGGCTTTTAATACATGGGCATGTTTCCTGCTGTTGCCTCAATTGCAGGGAGGAAAAGAAAGAAGGGAGGGTAGGTGGAAGGAAGGAAATTCTTCCTTCTCCACATTGGAAAACAAAGCCTCCACCTAAAGAACTGGGCAGTGGGACAAGAAAATTCCATTTCCAAGAACAAGCAGTTAAGGACCCAGTGTGATTTTTAAGGCTCAGCTCAAACCCCACCTCCTACTCCAAGTCTTTTCCAATTTCCCAACACACAGTGACCTCTTGATCCCTGTCATTTTCATACCATTTTTAATGCTTACTTACCTGCCCAGAAGTCACCACTCTGGGACACAATGCTAGTTTTGCTAGATCCTCCCCTATCTGGGTCACAAGTCCCTGAGGACAGGGACCATGTCCCTAACATTCCTTTATCATGGGTTTGGGGTAGAAGGGATGCTATCAGAATCCTCCCCTTAGCATCTATAAAAACCTTGAGCAAGTGACCCCTGTGTGAGGTCACTTGCTTAATGATTTGTGGTTCCCCTCCTTGGAAGAATGCAGGCTCTGTGGCATTGGGCATCTTCCATACTGTTCATCACCATACATGAATTGGAGCCTTCGTTTCCATATCTGTACAATGGGACCACAAACCACTTCACATCGGGATCAGGAGGATGAAGTGATATGAGGCTCCATCATGTTCCTAAGAACAGGTGTGCACCTGGGCCTAACACAATTCTGCAAAAAGTTAGGCAAATGTCTGTTGGTGGTTCATGTGTTCTGAGCTTTTTTTTTTTTTAGATGTTATTTTATTTGTGAGAGAGAGAGAGAGAGAGAGAGAACGAGTGGGGGGGGGGGAGGGGCAGAAGGGCAAGCAGACTCCCTACTGAGTATAGAGCCAGGAACACCAAGCAGCGCTTGATCCCAGAACCCTGAGTTTAGGACCTGAGCTGAAATCAAGAGTCAGATGCTTAATTGACTGAGCCACCCTGAGTTTTGTTTTTTTAAAAAAGATTACAATAGGATTATCATTTCCATTATAAAGATGGCACACACTTAACTAGGAATTTTCAAGAACTATTGTCAGTTGTTTAAATACATCTCTTCCCCTCCCCAACTTTAAGTGAACCCACACAGGGAAATTCAATTTTATTCAAAAGAAATGAGGGAGTTAATATTCACAAAAGGATTCACAATGGGCTTTCTTTAAATAGAAAATCTCCCTGGCACATTTAAAGAAATTACATCAGTCTCAAATTGTATTTGCCAACTTTCCAGAAGCATCTGCTACTTAAAGTAAGTCGTGCATCTGACAAGTAGGAAGAATTCAGTCTCTTCAGGGGGACCCTCCTCCTAAGACCAAGGGTTACACTTTCATTTAGACTTCCTTGAAAGACTTTAGAAAAGTTTCTTCAGTCACTGCGAGAAAAATGAGGCACAGAAATACAGCATCTTGCCACTCTCAGTGTGTCTGCCTTCTGGATTATGGGAGGTACAATCAGAAAGAGGAGGGAAGTACAGCAAAATGGTTTCCATACCTTCAACTCATGCTCCAAAAAGCATCCAGAAATCTCTGCGCTCAATGGTCAATTAAAAATAGTTTTTCTACACCCTTGCTTTAAGGTAAGAAAACCCATTTTTTTTTTAATCTGACTCAGAATTTGGTCTTTAGAAAAAAGAATTTAGGGGTGCCTGGGTGGCTCAGTTAGTTAAATATCTGCCTTCTGATCAGGTGATGATCCTAGGGTCCTGGGATTACTAGAGTCAGGCTCAGTGGGGAGTCTACTTCTCCCTCTGCCCCTCCCCCCACTCATGTGCATGCTCTCTCTCTCTCTCTCTCTCTCTCTCAAATAAATAAAATCTTAAAAAGAGAGAGAAAACAGAATTTAATTGTGTGTTTTGAAAGCAACACATGTCATTACCCTCTAGTTCTGCATTCTCAACTTCTTGACATCCTGAGCTCATGGGCAACAAAGCACAAACTTTTATCCATTGAGCCCTGTGAAAGACAGCCGAATTTCTGATTGGTAAGAACACTTTCTAGATACTAACCTTTTATCAGCTATGTCATTTGCAAATATCAGTGAGGTGCGTGGTGGGATGGGTGAAATAGGTGACAGAGATTAAGAGTACATTTATCTTGATGAGCAATGAGTAATGTATAGAATTGCTGAATGACACTATATTGTACACCTGAAACTAATATAACACATGTTAACTGTACAGGAATTAAAATAAAAACCTAATTTTTTTAAAGATTTTTATTATTATTATTTATTTATTTGACAACAGAGATCACCAGTAGGCAGAGAGGCAGTCAGAGAGAGAGAGAGAGAGAGGAGAAGCAGGCTCCCCGCTGAGCAGAGAGCCTGACGCGGGGCTCCATCCCAGGACCCTGGGATCACGACCTGAGCTGAAGGCAAAGGCTTTAACCCACTGAGCCACCTAGGTGCCCCAAGAAACCTAATTAAAAAAAAAAAGTATCCTCTTTAGATCTTGGTTTAAAAAAAAAAAAAGAACCTTCAGCAAAGCAGTTTTACATAAATATAAGGGAAGCAACTGGAGGCTCTCTCTACCTGCCCTGCCCAGGTGGCCCCTGACACCATGACCCCACCTGGTGACCTGGCTGTCCCAGAGCCCCAGGATGGACTTTGAGAGCTGTGTTGGCCACCTGCATGCCTTTCCTAGCCTGCCTCCCTCTTATCCAAGACTGATCATATGCAAACCCGTGTAGTCCTGTTCAGAGGAAACAGCACTCTATTAACAATGCTGAAGGCCAAGTTCAAGGTCACAGCTTTCCCCATGACTCATTAATAAATAACAAAAGCCAGTGATTGGATGCAAGTAATGCTTTATAAGCATTTTCTCATTTGACACTAACAACAGCCCCAGATGTCCCCAGGTCATACATACACTGCCAGTCAGAAGAAGCTTAGCAGTGTGGCTCTGAGTATTGGTCTCAATACTAGTCTCTGAGACCTACTGTCACCCATGTTCTGTCGCCTAGCGACAAGCCCTGTGTAGGTGCTTCGGGACACAGTTCCAGTTGAGCCCAGTCTACAGCCATCCCAGACTTTGGAGTGAGAAGCAGGGCAGACACAAGAGACGGAGACAGACTTCAGGAGCAGAAAGAAGCCATCCCCTGGCGCTTGCCCATCAGCCCCTGTCCAAAGTTCTGACCCACAGAATCCGGGGGATTAATAAAATGGTTGCTGCTTTATGCCACTAAGCTTAGGGTGGTTGGATATGCAACAATAGTAACTAGAATAGAGTTTGGTTACACCTATCTTTACTTTACACATGAGGAGATGCATGCAAAGTACAGTAAGGGGAAAGCAAGGATTCAAATCTAGGTGTGATTCTAGATACACTCTAGACCACTAAACTGTATGGCATTACCCATATACCATTTTTGTTTGCTTAATGGAGGCATCCCCAGGACACTAATCCCAATCCTATCCATTTTATTTTTATTTTTATTTATTTATTTTTTTCATCTTCACTGGCATGGGATATATAGGTCAGTGGTCCTCCACCTTGAACGTGCAACAGAAGCCCCTGGAGGGCTTGTTAAAAACACAGATTCAAGGCCTGGGTGGCTCAGTTGGTTGAGCAACCAACTCTTGATTTGGCTCAGGTCATGACCTCAGGGTCATAGGATCAACCCCTGTGTCAAGCTCCACACTCACTGTGGAGTCTGCTTGTCCCTCTCCTGCTCTCACTCTCAAATAAATAAAATCTTTAAAACACACACACACACACACACACACACACACACACACACACACACAGAAAGATGGCAGGGCCCCACTCCCAAGGTTTCTGATTTTGATAGTCTAGAATGGGGTGTGAAAACTCGTGTTTCTAAAAAGTTCCCAGATGATTCTAATGCCACTAGCCTGGGGACCACACCTTGAAAACCGCTAGTATAGATCCTCCTGAAGGAGTAATGTCATTTTTGAGAGCAATACTTCTTCGGAACAAGCCATCATTGTGCTGTCTACAGATCAGGCCAAAACACCCCCACCCATTCCACAACGTTTTAAGTGGTTCCCAGGGCAGCTCTGGCCTGGCCTGGCCTTTCTCCATACTCTGAACATACTTTGCAGACACTGGCAAAGGGCAGAGATATTCCTGACAGCTGAGTGGGCAGGCATATGCACTAGAGGTAGGAAGTTGTGAAAAGCTTTCTACACAACAGTTTTCTGAAGTTCAAATGACTATGTAGCCAGAAAGGAGAAATAAGTGAAGAAAAAAGAAGCAGAAGAATTGTTTGCTGAACACACCCAGCCCTGACTCATGAGGTCCTTGGTGCCTGTCCCATGAGGTCCGTCCCCACTGTCTTATCAAAGAGTGTGAGGTGGCAAGCCACCCAGGAATGTTCACAGTGGCCTCAAGCCTCCAGAAGCTGCACTTTCTATGCCTCCAGAAGCTATTCTCCTCCCCTTCAAAGGCACATGCCATCAACCCCGCAATCCCAAGTGTTTGGTTTTCTTTCCATTGGTTCAAGGACACTTGCTGCTGACTCAATTTTAGAGAAAACACTTATCTAGTAAGTGACTCACTTCGATTAAACCAGCAAAGTAATATATAATATGAAAAAACATATATCTGGTCCAAAGTTCCCTCAAGTTTCTTTGTCTGAAAGTTAACTGCAACACACTACCCATAATTTTATGGCTATTTCTAAATATAATAAATTAAATTCACTACTACATACTGATCACCAATAAATGCCAGGCTGTTCCATACCTTCTGGCACTGTGTCCTCACAACCAGACTAGCGGGTAGGCATTATTGCCTGCAGTTTATATGAGGTGGGCACTTAAGTTCAGAGGAGCAGAAAAACTTGGCCACTACTTGGTGGAGCTGTGCCACACAACAGATCCTACCTAGAAGTTCAGGTCCAGTCATGGCCCTGCCATGAAGATCTGCATGTCCTTTCCTTAAATACCTCCTAGACTCCAATCAACTCCATAGTCTGGGACAGCAGGCAGCCCCTCTGACTTGGCACCTGACTGCAAGTCCCATCCTGCCCTGTAAGACCAACCCCAGGCCTAACCTTCCTGGCCATTACCGCCTCCAGTCCCTGGACCTTCTCCCCTTGTGGCATGGGGATACAGTGTACCCACCTCCCATCCCAAATCTTAAAGAAACACTAGTGGATTCAATCTCAGCAGATACCAGAGGACTGACTGGCTGGTGGAGCTGGTTTCTGGAATCTCAATCACCACCCGGTCTAAAGCAACCTGTAGGTCTTCCGAGGCAGTACACAACTGAAACAGTCAACTGGGAGACACCCATTCCTTCCTTCCCACCCACAAGCCCCAGAGCAAGAAGATAACTGATTCCAACTGCTGGCGAGAATTTTTTCCTAACCCTCTGCCTGCCAGTCGGTTTGTTTACTTGGGCAGTTTCTCCCCGAGCAAGTCTCTGGGGTACCCAACCAGAGGCAACAAGTAAGGAGCTTTTAGTTTTTGCCTCTCCCAGGGACAGGAGTGGGGGAGTCCCCGCCTACATCTGCGAGCCGGCGCCCTCCTCCCTAGTCTGGCCTAGGGGTAGCCCACAGCGCAGTGGAACCCCAGGTTGAACTCTGGGGACAGTGGACTGAGGAGCCGCGCTGGGGCAACACCAACGACTGGGCGACCCGAACGGATGCCCGCCCGGGGCCTCCGCAAGCGCGAACCCTAGCGCGTAAGCTGGAGTCTGGGTTCAGGGTGGCAGACGCCCGGACTGGAGCCTTCGGGGGTCCTGATAGGATGGGGGCTGGGGCGGTGAGGCGCCACCGTTGAGAGTGCGAGGAGCAGAAGACTGGAGGAGGGGCCTCCCGTGGGGCCGTGAATGGCTGTTAAATGCCCTCCGGAGTCCTGAGCTGGGGGCGCCCTGGACTATTTCCCGCCCCACACCCCGTAGCCCACTCACCAGACACGTTTAACTGGCCTCCTAGAAACCAGCCGATCTTCCCGCTGCTGAAATCACAGTCCCAGACCGTGTGATAGGGGGTGTCCCACACCAGCGTGTCCCGAGCCAGCGGCCCCCAGAAAGCGGCGGGATCCCGGGCCGCCTGTGCGCTCTGCGCCTGGTACGAGCCTGGCTGCCCCGCAGCCCCGGGGGCGGCTCTCACCCCACGCAGCTGTGGCACCGGCTGCACCGAGCGCCCGCACAGGCTGCCCAGGAGCCGCCCCGCGCAGCGGCCCAGGCCACGCGCCGCCATCTCGCCAGAAGCCCTTAGGCACTTTGAGCCGCAAGCTGGGGCTGCGAGACCGGGCGCCCCTTAATGTCTCTGCGGCCCCGCCCCGTCTCCTCCTCTAGCCACCACCCCCTCCTCCCCGCGCCTGTCGCGTAAGACGCTGCCTCCCGGAGCCTGCCCCGAACCGCACCCCTTCTTCTCCTGCCCCAGAGAAGAGGTCCGCTAAGGAAGAGTGGGCATGGGGAGCACAGGCCAGAAGGTGGCCCTCGGTTCTGGTGGGGCTGTGATGCCCTTGTCTTTGCCTTCCCGGCCTGACGCTCAGCGTCAGGCGGTTTTGGTTTCACTTTGTGGGTCTTCAGGAACCAACAGTTGCACCAGGAAAAAAAAAAAAAGACTCGTGCGTCATCTGATATAGGCTCCAGGCTCCAGGGAGCCTGAACCATCCGTTATGGGAAGGAGCAGGCAAAAAATGGAAGCCTCTGGTGGAGGGAAGTACGCAGGTGGGTGTGAAGACCACCACAGTTAGGTTCTTTCAGCATCTCAGAGACTGAAGTCCAAGTATCAATCCTTTTGTGCTCCCTTGAGAGGAGCACATCATCTTGCCAGGCCGACCTGTGACTCCACCCTCCAGCACACACATAAGTGGCCCATGTGGGCCCGATGGACTGGTTAGTGTGCCTAGGGCCAGGATGTTGGTCTGGGGTCTGAGGCTCAGACCCTGGCCTGAGGACTGATGCTCTTAGCAGCCAGCTGCCAGCCTTAGGCCCCTTGGGAAGTATAAGCAAAGCAAATGCTCTGCTAACCTTGACTGATATAGAAACCTGGGAGTTTCTCCCATTGCTCCGGCATCTGTGGCCTTAGCTTAAACCTTGGCTTTGACCTTGGTCAAGTTTCTTAAACTCTCTGTGCCTCATTTTCATTTCCTGGAAAAGAGGATTAACATCTCTTTCCCCAGGGCCAAGGTCAAGATTAAATGCAGTAGTATCTAGTCTAGCCTGCAGTGGGCACACAGGAAGCTCAGTAGTGGAGGCTATATTGTTGTCCTCAAGCCAAGAAGGATAGAAGGAAACTCATGGAATCTTGTTTCAACCAGATTCTTAAAGATTTCAACACCCAAGATGTAAAAGTGTAATGAAGAAGGCGAGCAGAGGAGAACAGGGATTTGGAAAAACTGGTTGGTTGAGTTCTTTGGGTTTGGGAAAGATTCCTTCCTGCTAGCTGTATGATCTGCAGAGGGAAAGACCAGGCAGAGGAGAACATGTCAGATGCGCTTCCACTGGAAGACAGCCCCAGCAGTGCCTGCCCACGCGTGCGTGTGTGTGTGTGTGTGTGTGATGCCCGCCTTCTGCCAGAGAACCGAGGATTTTAAGACTGGTGAAGAGTGAAATAGCTAGCATTACACATGTGACTTGCTCTGTGCCAGGCAATTTTTTACTTAGCTTAAAAATTATCTACAGCTACCACCAATGACCAACCCCCTGGTGGGACAGATACACAAAGAAATAAATGGGCTTACTGGAAAGCCCACAGCAGTCACATGAAAGAGCAGCACTGACACCCAGCACTCCTGCTGCCATCTCAGTAGCTGCCTCACCATTTGGCCTGAATCTTCATTTTCAATAGAAAATGCAAAACTGTCCATGAAGATTATAACTGTGGTGGTGTGTCCCAAAGACTGCCACCAACATTTCATCCCCTGTGTAGAAGGGATAGTATGCTGCTCCATGGAGAGAGGAGCCTGTCCCCCGCCCCTTGAATGCAGGCTGGTGGATTTCTTTAGCGCCGGGCCGCAGGGGGCATCCCTGTCTGACAGACCCAGATTTAGGCCCTGCAGGCCCCAGCTGCAGCTCCAGCTTTCTTGGAACTTGGGTGTGGTGCTGTAAGGGAGCTGAAGTAGCCTTCCAGAGGAAGATCCTCATGAGAACAATGAGAAAAGTACATAGAATTGACTTGACTTTAAAATAAAGAAGTACAGGTGTGCCTGGGTGGCTCAGTGGGTTTAGCCTCTGCCTTTGACTCAGGTCATGATCTCAGGGTCCTGGGATCGAGCCCTACATGGGGCTATCTGCTCAGTGAGTAGCCTGCTTCCCCTCTCTCTCTCTGCCTAGTTGTGATCTCTGCCAAATAAATAAATAAAATCTTTATTTAAAAAATAAAGAAGTACAAGGGGAGCTGGGTGGTGCATTTCGTTAAGCATCAAACTCTTGGTTTCCGCTCAGGTTGTGATCTCTGGGTCCTGAAATTGAGCCCCATATTGGCCTTCCAACTCAGTGTGGAGTCTTCTTCGGACTCTCTCTTCTCCTCCCTCTGCCCCTTACCCTCTCAAATAAACAAAGAAACCTTTAAAAAATAAAGAAGTACCTAGTTCTTGTTTTCTTCAGGTTGGGTAAAGAGAAGTGATTATGTGGACATAAAACATTTCAGAATTCAGGTGGTACAAAATTGCACTTCCAGCAGCCAGCCCATTAACCAAGAGATGACCTGGGAACCTGCCTCCTGAGTGTCATAGCCCTGGGGTCCCTGAGGCCAAAGCCATCCTTTCTGCCTCCTAGAAACATATCTCCCATGACTAGAACTAAATGGAGCCACTGTCCACCTGCCCCAGCCATATTCCCCGGGCTGCTTCCCTGGGGCCGCAGTGGTGCTGAGAGAGCAGCCAACCATCCAGTGGTCACATGTTCTTCCCAAGAGGCCCCTGGGCAAAGTCCTCAGAACTGAAAGCTGTACATTGGCAGGTGCAGAAGTAGGGAGGCCTGGGAGGTTTCCCATGGGAAGCTGGGGCTTACTTTATATCTTAGGCCTGATGTTCACATTGGAGGCTGGAGCCCACCAACACCCCCTTTGACTTTTGCCTCCTTAGATCCAACCACCTACTTTACTCAGAGCACTTGGGTGCCCCTAGAAACAGTTTTGTTGGTAATGGACCTGGGAAAACCGCCTGCCCTCAGTCAGTAAGACCTAGCCCTAACTCACCAAATCTGTAAAGTTGGATACTTCCACAAAAGCCTTCAAAGCTCTCTGCTTACCCACTCTGCACTTCTCTTCAATGACATGCATAGGTGATCCTTGGAGCCCCTCCTGTGTGCACAGCCCAGGGCTAAGGGCTGACAGCTTAACAAGGATGACCTCAACACAGCCCCTGAGCTCAAGCTTACCACAGGGGGAGCAGGGAGAGGCAGAGAGACAGACAGCTGCTCAAATGAGTGAAATGCAAAACAAAACCCAAACAAAAATTCCATAATAGGAGGCTTGAACCAGGTCTGAAGGAGGAGAACACTTGGTTGGCTGGGAGTCTAGGAGTGCTTTCAGAAGGGTGTCGGGGAAAGCTTGCCCCCAGGTTCCCACTTTGCAGTGTTGCCATGACCTCAGTGGTAATGACAACATCTGGAGAGGTTTGTATCCATCCCCTTTGGCAGTGGGGGCTCAATGATTCTCATATAGCTGCAGCACAACCTTTGTCTCCCATCCTATAACACTGCACACCACATCCCTGTGGATGAGCTGCCGACCCCACGCCCTGTGGGGTTAACCCAATGATACACAGCAACTACAGGGTGGGAGTGCTCCCCACCAAAAAGCTGGACAGGAGATGAAAACCGGGACCAACTCCAGGGCTCCAAAGGAGACATACCATCTGCTGCCTCACACCTGACTGATGCAGTCAGGAGCATGGTCTGTGGATTTCTTTAAAGCTGGCCTACTTAGAACTGGCTTCGTCCTGGATAGAAGTGCCACCAGGGATGGACGGTCTGATGGGTTTCTGGTCCAGTAGCTTCTGAGAATGGCAGCCAGTTCTGCCCGGGAAGGTTTGTATTTCAACTTGCATGAAAGAAAAAATTAAGGGGGTGGACAACTAGGGAGGGCTCTGAGCTCACTCTTGGGGTTCCCGTTGAGCTCAACTGGTGACTCAGTCGGGAGGTAACAGGAGGAGCAAGAGGCTTATATTCCAGAGGGCAAAATGGATGAGACAGCCAAGTGCAACACTATTCAGAGAAGCCACCTCCCAAACTAGGACAGCCATCCTGAACAGTGTGTGGATTTCCTGCATGTGCCAGAAAGGCCCAGGGGCCACTTGTCCTCATGGTTCATCCGGTGGGTTCATTCTCTGGCAGAGGCCTGCAGAGTCCACTCACTCCTCTTCACAGGCCCTAATGCCCACCAGCAGCCCACCCTGTCCCCTTCATGGTCTCAGTGCAGTGGGTATCCTTGATCAGTCACTTGTCTGGCAGTGATCACCTTGGATGCTTGGGTCCTTCATCGCAAGAGTCTACAGGGGAGGAAGGGCATCCAGGAGCAGTCTTTGAGCAGGTCTGAGCTACCCTTTTCTTGTCACAAGAAGGCAAAAGGCAGCTGAAACCACTCTTGCTATCTCTGCCTGTGGCAATAGGAATGCTTCCATCGGCTCCCCAGCCTCTCACCTCAATCAACCCAAATATGAGGTTTTACACAGTACAACTTTGAGACAAACACCCTGAAAACAGAGGGCTCAGCCAGCAAACAGTTGCTGGCCACCTGGGAAAGACACTGCTTTCTCTGGAGAGGACACTGCTTTCCCTGGGTGCTGGGTTCCAAAGACAGATTAAACAGGACCCCAACCCTGAAAGCACCAGGTGAGAATACAGGAGGATATATACTCATTAATTGGATCAGAACACCAGTGGTAGAAAATATAAACCTAGTTGCACCAAACATCGGATAGCATGGTGTTTGGAGAAATTTAAAGCAGACCAACACTGCCACCTGGTGATGAATTCTACATTTAACTTTTTTTCATCATAAATCTAGTCTTTAATCCCAGTCCCCCTTTTCACCCTTTGTCCCCACACACCTCCCTCCCTTCTGATAACTCTCCTTTTGTTCTCTATAATTAAGAGTATGTTTCTTGGTTTCGCTCCCTTCCTCTCTTCTTTGCTCATTTGTTTCGTTTCTTTAACTCCACGCATTTAAAAAAAAAAAAAAAAAAAGCTCACACATGAGTATATTATATATTTTTCATTTTCTGGTTGATGTAATTCACTTAGCAT